ACTAACAAAATTAATCAATTTTGCAAACTAATAAAATTCAAAAAGCTCTTGCCAATACAAATCACTTCACTATTTAATACTATACTAGCACCATCACTTGAATACCTACTCCAAATCATTCCTTTAAACAAACAAACACAAAAAAAAGATAGATTGAAGCAGAAAAGTAGTTAGAAAAATTTATGAAGCAGATATAGTGAAATATTAGTTAGAAAAAATAAATTCTCTATCTGTAATAGCTTGCTAGCTAAAGAACTATATACTATTGTTTCTAAAAAATATTTGAAGTTTAGTCAAAAGTAAGGTTCTGAAACTCTATTATTTAATATTAAACCAGAAAATATAGTTAAAGGAAAAAATTTATTAATTGAAAAGTTAGAAGTAATAGAAAGAATAAGTACAATATTATTTTGCCTAGTACCTTTATTAGAAGTATTCTCAGTTTTTTTTGTACTAAAATCAGAACTAAAATATTTTTGTCTAGTCATAGACCTAAAAAGGCTAAACAAATTATTACTAAAAAAATTATTATAATTCAAAGGTTTAGAAAATTTACTAAGGTTAATAGGAAAGAGTTAGTTACTAATTATTTTAGATTTTAAAGATAGCTACTACAATATTCTAATAAATAAGAAGGCTTATTACTTTCTAGAGTTCTAAGTAGAGAATATTTGGTATCAGTACTAGGTATTACTATTTAGCCTTTTTCAAATAGTTTAGGTATTCTTAAAAATTATAAGAACTCTAATCACTTATTAGAAAAAAAAGATAGTTTTAAGTTCATATATAGATGATATATGGATAGCTCATTTCTTAGTTATAATACTAGAAAAGATTTAGAATAAAATTATATTATTAGATCTAAAAAATTGTAGATTTGTACTAGCCTAAGACAAGAGCAACTTAGTACTATTGATAAGAATCAAGTTTTACAAATTAATCATAAATACAAAAAGAGTACAAATAATTGTATAAAAACAAAAGCTAGCAGAAATAAAAGTATATTTGAAGACTCTATTAAATATAAATTAGATAATAGCAAAGCAATTAACAAGAGTTATGAGAAAAGTTCAAAGCTTAGTAAGAGCTTTTGCTCTAATGCAAGTGAACTATCTAGAGTTTTACTTCTTAATAGATATAGCAAATTGATAGAGTTGAGAATGAAACTAAAAAATTTAGCTATCAAACTAAGCAAAAATAGATTTATGTTAGTTGGTAAACAACTTAGAAAGGTATAATAGTTGCTTAGCTTAGAAATGATTACTAATAAGAACTCTGTTTTTAGATGCTTCTATGACTAGTTAGTACACTAAGTTAGATAGCCTAATAGTATTCAAAAATTAGTTAGAAAAGTTAAGTTTTGGAAAATTGCAATATTAAAAACTGAAGCAGTTTTGCTAAATCTTTAGAGCTTTGCAAATCTTTTATCTAAATATTAGTATTTATAAATAGTTATATAGCTTTAGCAATAATAAAAAGAAGTAGACAACAAATTTAGCAAATAGAAGTCTACAAAGATTTTTAGTATATTTGTTTAGAAAGAAATATTTGAATTTATAAGATAAAGTAAGTATTATTAGCAAAAAATTTAGTAGATTTCTGAATTAGAATTTTTAATTCATCAAATTAGTATATTTAGAAAGAAATATTTTAGCAAATAGAAGCTATATTTAAGCTATATTCAATAAACTAAATAGCTTCTTACTTAAGCACAAAAGTATAAAGATTTAATAGTTACTATTTTTGCTTAGAATTAGAGGCAGTAGACTACTTTATTTAAAAATAAAAAAACAAAGTAAATTATATTTACCTCCTTCTCTATCTAATACAGAGAATACTTTATTATATAAAGAGTTACAAGATAAAGATAATAATAGTAATCCTAGAATAGTCTTTAGCTGATTAGTAGCTTCTACTCTTAAAGCAAAAATAGAGAATACTTGTCTTGCTAAAACCAAAAGCTATATTTGCACTAGACTCTTTGAAACTAGTAGAACTTTGAAAAACCTAGAGTAGAAATTTATAACAGTTTATATTTATTTCAGAAAGCAAGAATATTAGCAAAAAACTCTTTTTTATAAGGCTAGATCTAACAAATACTATAATCTTTACTATAATTTTTGTAAGAAATTTGAAATAAATTTAGACAACCTGATAGAAAATAAAATTTTAGTATTTATTATATAGCTAGATGTTGATAATTATATGTCTCAGGCTGGGAACTTAATCCGTACATCACTTGTACCAAATTTAACCAAAAAAATTTTTCACAAAAACCAAATTTCTTCAACTT